CTAGTTCGGAGGTGGTTTCACACCCGGAGATGAACTCCACATAAGCGGGTAGCGCTTATCCAGTCATGCCCAAAACGGGCAGGGTGGTAGTTAGCTCTGTCAATGTGGCATCAGATCTCGAGGACGTCAAAGGCGACAACTTGCTCGGGGAGGATGTCACCCATTGCATCACACAGGCCGTTGCAATTCGTCTTGCCGAGGTGGGGCCAAGGAGTCCACGACAGATGTGAGGTGTCTATCATGCTCCTAAAGTCTACTTACATGGAGTTGAGTTGTCGTCTAGCAATTTTGTCAAGCCATGTGTCATGATGCCTGTTTGAATATATAATTATTGTTTTATTAGTATTTTTATTAATATTTTATTAGTATTTAATAATTAATATGTTAGTATTCTATTATTACTTTAATTATATTATATTAATATTTTGTTTATACTTAATTATTATTATTGTTTAATATTAATATTTTGTTGTTATTATTTTATTAGTATTTAATAATTAATACCGTAGCCTATATCATTAATTTATGATTAATTTATTAATATATTACTATTTTATTTTTATTTTTATTAATATTCTATTATTTTTGTTTATTTTTTTTAAATTAATTTATTATTATTTAATAATTAATATGTTATTATTTTATTATTAATTTAATTATATTGTATCAATATTTTATTTGTACTTAATTATTATTGTGATTATTATTACATAAATAATATCTTTGCTTTTTATTGCTAATTTATTAATATTTTAATATTATGTCATGAATTATTATTATTATTATTGTATTTAAGAATTAATATATTTGCTTTTTATTTTTAATTTATTAATATTTCATTAGAGTACTATTATTTGCTTAATTATTATAATATTTTATTATAAATAAATAGATAGACAGATAGATCAACCCAACTCTAATTAAAAGTCAAAACTCTAACCCAACCCTACACTTGAACAAATCTATAAACCTAATCCTAACATGACAAGGTGGATTTATCATTTAACTCGATGTATTGCCATTCCTAGTATTTGCATTAAATTGCTAGATAAACTCATAATGGAATCCACATACGATTAAAGTGAAATTTTATAAAGATGTATGTTATCCTAATGAAAGAGGTTAGGACAATGGTAGATAGAGTAGAATCCTTTATCAGCTACCAAGATTATCTTTGTTATTTAGTAAAGATGACTTTATCTTTTTTTAATTGGAAATCAAGGAGAGGCCCATCTATCAATCCATTCACCAAATCTATATATCTATTAAAGAATCTTTACTTTTAAATTGTAAATTGAAATAATGTCTTTAACCAGTAATACAATTCCATCTCTCATTCCCAAAAGGTCACATGCATTAAATCAGTGAGAAAAAGCAGCACTAGTGCCGTGTGTATAATGCTTCCCAGTACGGTGACGGTCAACAAATTGCGCTTAGCCCTTGACGCGACATACGTGCATGAGGGTGGGACCCACCATTAAGGGGCCGATCTTTCTACAGACCCATTCATTCAATCTCTTAGATAACCTTAGCAATTAGAATATTCCAACCAATCACCAACTTTTCACTTTTTCTTTGTACATCTTCTGGTGGGTAACCTACAAGCTACATTTTACTTTGCTCCATGTACATGTAACAGTAGTTGCTTAGGTTCTGTTTGTTTGCCATATAAATTTGAATTCAATATAGGGATATAAATTTTGCACTCGGTTCAGTTATAATTTATACTTTTGTTTGATATAAAATTTGCCCTTTTTTGTCTCATTTTTACTCATATTGGCAGTCTAAAAAAATTGATACGAAATTTATACACTCTTATTGAATCCGTGAGCAAAGTTTGATTACGTCGTTATTTATTCCCTGTCACCAAAATCTAAGGTTTATTGCTTTTTCTTCTCAGCCATTGAAATTCAAAGGAGAGTGAGTGTGTTGAACACGGCAACAAAGTAGGCACCGTCTTTTATTGACAAGCTAGACATTGTAGAGAAAAAGCTTTGTGTTTTCCCCAAATCCACATTCTACAGCTTGACTTGGGGGCCTGCCGGCCTGGCCGTGGCTGTGGTTCATTTGTTATCCAATTCACAGCCACATGTGTTACATCCCAGGTTCTTTCTGGTTCCTTTCTCTATGTGGGCAGTCTCATATATTCTAAATTAACCGTTTGGGTTCATTCTTTAGGCTGCATCTGGAAACGAATTCCAATAAATTACAAATATGTAGAGTGTAAAATGGTTTATATAAATTGTAAAATTAGGTTAATTTTGCATTGACAAATTTATCCTCTTACTAAACAGACTTTTACCTGTAATGGATGCAAATACGAATTCCAATAAAGCATATACTTTTTTTTTTATGAAAAGCCCATTTGAATGCAAATTTACTTCTCTTTTCTTGATGTATTTGCATATCTTTTGTCAATGCATAAATGCAATGTTGTCAAACACAGGTAAAAGTGAACCAGAATACAAATTTATCTTGAATCGCAGGATTTAAACTCCATATGCATCGTTTTCAAACACAGCCTTAGGAAAATAGATTTCAGAAATTAATGGATTTTAATCTTTTTGTGGATTTATTTATTTTTTAAATATTTGGTGATATTCATCATAATAACTTCATTCCAAAAAAATCAGTGGTGGTAAGAATCGAATCCGCATTTATACTGGAGCGGACCAGTTAATATATATATATATATATAGAGAGAGAGAGAGAGCTAGTAATTTAATTAAATTTCATCAAGCTGGTGTTGCAATGCAAATACAAATATGTACACTACATATTTACCTATTTTTCGGTTCATGAATACAAACACGGTTCACATTTAAACCGTTTTTGCATTCATCTTGTTTGTTTGAAATAGGTGCAAAAGTGTGGGCCCATCTATTCAAGAACTCGTCTAACAGCTTAATCTTTTTAGCTTGAACGGTTCAGTTTGTTTCTGTTTCAAACCCAGAACTCATTCATGTACAGATCGGATATGTGTGGTAATCTATCTCGTCGTGATTTAGATGTTTCCCTCACTTCACCTGTAAGTTGCAGAATTACTAACAATAGAGGTGATGATCAGGTGAAGGGTGCAACAAAATTCATTCAAGTCTTATCCAACAATATGGGCATGGCCAGGCATGAAGCTTAATTCTTTGGTTTGGACGATAATGATGATAACGACAGTGGTGGGGATGGTGGTGTCGTACGTGGTGGTTGTGAGGATAAATCGAACAGAGCTAAAGAATCGAAGCTCATTTCACAATTCACATGCAATCAAAAATCCAATCCAATACAGAGACCATCAGATTCAAAAAGTAATGCAAATTAGCATCCCGGCCTCATTTGTCGGTATATCCTAATAATCAGAATTTCAAATAGTACTTTTTAAGGATTCATCGACTCTTCCTATAGTCTGAACTAACAATCCTCATTCATTGAATCTTCCAAAGGGTTCAATCAGTACGGAACCATGCATGTATTGGAAGGAATTCCATCATCCCATAATGAGGAGGTAGCAGTCAGTTACGTGCAAGAGCAGAGCATAGAACTCGTTAATCACTCCGCCTGCAAATAAGACCAAAATTTGCTTATTTATCTGGGCAAGTGCATTTATTTATATTCTTTTATTTTTTATGTAAATAAGGTAATGACCATTTTGGTCAGAAAAATCTATTACTAAAAGGGGTATTTTTATTCCATTTAAGTATTGACAACTTTCCCCCAAGTGAGAAAGTTATTTATTTATCTAGGATATGGGTATCACTTACCCAGATATGTGAAAATTAGGAAAATAATTTTTTCTTGATCCCCACATAAATCTGATAAAAGAATATATGTTTCTTGGTCAATGGAATTTTGAACCAACTTCCCCCTCTCAAAATCCAAAAACAGAACACGCCCCAAATAATATAACTTGTATTCATCTTAATTTAATCTTCAAAGGCAATATTTTGAAGAGATTACACACACCCGAGCCAATGTAATTGTAATCCCATACTTTATCCTTTAATTCATTGGATTTATTTTGAGAAATGCTTGATTTGGTATTGGACAACCCTATCATTGAATCTTGATAAATGGTTATTTCCCAAATTAATTAATAGTTGAGAAAAATACTCCTTCAATAATGAAAGGACAATTTTACCCTTTCCATCATTGTTTTCATTGGGGTGTTTAGGGGTGAGCATGGGTCGGTTTGATTCAGTTTCATGGCAGAACCTAGAACCTACCCTATAGGGGCCAGTTTCAAGTTTTTGGAACTAGAACCTATCTTGTGAAGGTCGGTTGTGGCCTTGGTGATTCTGGAGTTGGTTCTAGAGCCTACCTGTGGAACCCCCC